TGAACTTTTTAATGTACATATAAATGGCATTGTAAAAGATAATCATTCTCTTTCGCCTATTGTACAATGTATATGTATATGTATATATATATGTATGCATATTGAGTTGAGTCGTTTATTCATGCGAAATGATGTGTGAAAGAAAATTTTCTATAGAATAAAATTTGTTCTTGTAGATGTAGAGTGAACGATAGGATAGCAGACATTTGCTTATACATGATGCGTGAATTGTGTGTGTATGAGTGTCTGCAAGGTGTGACTCTTGCATGAAGTACAAATAATGAGTATGCCTGTTGTATTTTTAGTATACACTATCATGACGAGACTATAAAAATCGCCATCGGCTATCCTTGTCTGAACTCTCAATCTTTCTTCTTCGTTTTTTGTTTTATTCTTTTTCTCAATTGACAAAGGATCATGATGCAAGTTAACGTCTATTGTTACTGCCAATCTTACGTCTAGATCATCAATAATAGAATAGTTTTATTATATCTGACACAGGTATGATTGATACAATAACGAGATTTTTATATATGTATGTTTATTAATAATGAATTTGACTTTTTTTTAGATTATAAAAATATGTTTAATAATTGCCCAGGATATTTAGATAGTTCAGGTAATTGAATTTTTTTTTATGACGAATAAATTAATTAAAAAACAAGAATGTATCTTTTATGCCTTCAGGTGTCTGGAATAATGGTTTCAGTTGTCAACCAGTAGATAATCGAATTCGTACATGTTGTGGTCCTGAAAATCGACGAGAATGTTGTTTTGCTGATCAACTTTCACATCAATCTGATTTATCTATTGATTCTGATCTTTCGTCATCATCATCAAATAAAATTACTTCCAGTATTACTATTACACCTTCATCTTATATACTTATTCTTACTGCTATTGGTCTTACCTTGGTTCTACTTATTGTATTACTTATCGTATTTGCCTATATGATTCGTCGTAAACTAAAAAGATCTTCATCGTCCTCATCATCATCATGCTCATCAGATTCATCTTCAATTAATAAACATTCTCGTCGTTTATCAATTGTTTTAGCTAGTTCATCAAAAAGTGGTGCAAGTAGTCCTGTTCCAAGTACATATGTTGATTATTGGTCACGTACAATTGTTTCACCATCGGAATGGACACTTTCTAGACCATATAACTCATTTATAGGCGGACATCATAGTAACAATCAAAACTATTATATTGACCAGTAAAGAAAAGAAACTAAATAATGATATCAATACATTTTTGTTCGTTTATTCTTTCGTTTTGCTTTTACATTTAATGTCGTGCAGTCAATCATATACAAATTTAACTGAACCATTTTTCTTCTTATTGTATTGCATTAAAATTTTAATAAAATAATATTGAAATATTTGTCAAGTAAATTTAAATTTTAAGAATAAATCATATTATTAAATTGATTTCGTTCTATAAATAAATTATATTTTAACATCTGAAATTGGTATAAAAACTGATGACTTTAGAAATAAAATTTATGCTTATGAAACATCTAATTTTGATAAACATAGATCTTATGATTCTCGTACAAATAAGTACAGAACCTACATTAATACTTATTTTACAAGATCGATTATGCAATGCTAATTTAACAGAAGTTAATATTTAAGATCCAGTAATAGATCATACTGTGCTCTGTTGTGCAGTACGTGCTGGAGATGTCGCAGCTGCCAATTGTTTTTAACTGAACTGAGAGCCGAAGCTGATTTATAGCAATGTACAAAAAGTGCAGTTTTTTTCAGATATTTGATGGAAAGTGGTGCAGACAATTGCATGGTTGACGAGGAAGCGTATAATGATGATGTAAAACGTGTTTGTATTGAACTTGAATAGGCACTATATGTAAGAACTGCTGCTAATGACAGTGATTGATTTATGAACAATATTCTAAAGAATATTGATAGAAACGGAAAACTCTAATAAATCGGTGGAGTTGAACAGTTGAAGAAGAAAATATTGCTGGTATTTTTCAATCCATATATATAATCGAGACATATTTGATATGGCACCTAAAGGCATGTCGTTGTGGACAATATGCACTTGCAAAAGAGTTGTCATTATATAAAACAAAGTATTGTGGTTATATAAAAATTATTGAACTTTTACTCGAATATGATGCTGATATCACAATTAAAAATGATTATAAAACAACTGCTCTCAAAAAAAAAGATTATCTAAAGAATCATAAATCAATTGATATTCACATGTATTCAGATGAAAGTGAAGGAGACGATTCAGAATCTAAAATACAATAATATCATGCTGCCGTACTTGATAATTTATTACAAACTTTATCCAATCATATAAAGAATGTAGATAATCATTTTTCTATTGCTCGATGTTCACTAAAGTTTACAGATAAAGACAGAACAATGATTTCAGTCATATGTATGTCGTGCATGTTATAAAAATTTAAACTTTACCGATACATCACTTCATCTAACTCTTCGTAAAGTATCATTTCGAATCATCATGTTCCTAAAGAATAATGAAGAACGATTAAGTTTATTCGCTCATCATAATTATCTTCAATCATAATACTATAAACTTATCATTTGCATCATTCTCGCAAATAGTCATCTCTCTGAAATAAGTATGCTAGTTTCTTAAGTGAGAAAACTTATAACATAACTTTTTCTCATTGTTATTTCTGTTTTATTTGTCGATGAATGGTTGCCGAAATGCAATATTAATAAATTATTAAGTTATTATAATATATACGTTTACTACATTTTGTAAGATAACATTAAATTCAAATGAACCGAACAATGTAAAAAAACAACTATCTAATAACTTAGTTCTCTAAAGCAAATTATGATATACTTGCCAGATATTTTCTAATAAATTGCAATGCGATAATAAACAGAAATGTTCAGTATCTGTTTATGCGCATTCG